ATATTAAAATATTAAATTAAAATATTATAAATTATTATAAATTATTATATTATATATATTAAATAATACAATATTATATTTTTAAATCCAAATTTTACAACAAAATGATGATGTCTATGTTGCTATTTTTAGATTATATATCTAAATCAAGTTCAAATAATAATCAAATTACTAAATTAATATATATCACTAATACAATACTTATTCAAAGATTACTAAATAATTTTTTATAAACTGTCCAATGGCCAGGTTTATTATGCTGGCTTCATTTGAATAAGTAATGAACTTAGAAAATAAACCCACATGGATAATTTCAGAACAATGCAAAATGTCCAAAGGCAGTATAAAAAATGACACTAACTTTATTTTTTTCTCTTGATAGTCAAGAAGATTTATTAATATAGGATGCTTGTGAGGGATACAGCAGGCAGGCAAGGAGCTCTGCCGACAACAAACTTCAATTCAGAGTAATCTGATAGTCAAGAAGATTTATTAATATAGGATGCTTGTGAGGGATACAAGCGGGCAGGCAAGGAGCTCTGCTGACACAAACTTTAATTCCGAGTAATTTTCTTCCTAAAAACCCAAAGCAATTGTTTGTTTTTTTCTTTCCCCATATGCCCCATATGTTGACAATAGTCTTGTTTATGAGGAAAAGGAAATCCACAACTCACCTTTGTACACCATAAGGCCTTTCCAAAATAGGCTCTTTAAATGGAGGAGGAATGTGACCAAAATAATCAGGATAAGCCACTTCTGAATATTCTGGGACAGACTTTGTACTTTTCACAATCTCAATATAAAGGTCAGAGTCATGGAGTGTTGGTACATCAGGGACTTCAACTGATGCTTGCTCCACTGATGAAGTAGACTCCGTGTCTTCATCATCTTCAGTTTCGACTCCGGTACAGCAGAGCTTGCCGAGCTGAACCGTTCTTCCCTCAAACAGAGCATTTCCACAAGCAGCCACATGTGAACATGCTTTAGTGCACGTAAGGACAGTGACAGGGAGACTGTAGTCCTTCATTCCTGCAGTAAAACCTGGGGCTGTTTGAGATGGAATACTCTGCAACGTAATTCGGTCCAAGGCCTTCACTATATCATTGTTTAAGCCGTGGCCTGATGAAATAGTTCTATTTTGATCTCCGAGCTGCTGCTGTAATGTTCTGTCATTCTCTTTAATGTCTTCTTTTGCCAGATCCACAGAGATAGCTTTCTTATTACCTTCATCTCCTTTAGGAGACACAGTCGTCTTCATTACAATTCCTTTTCTTAAATTGCCTGAATTCCCAGATGCTTCCTCTCCTGCTGTGGGAACAACAATAGGACCACGAACTTTTCCCTCAAATACAAAAGGCTTTGGTTCTTTGGAGATTAAATCATAGCCCTTTGAAAATAAAAAAAAAAAGTTTAATCTTTTATGTGTAAATATTAACACATATTAAAATACATACAAAACTAAGATCATATTTTATATGCTGATTCAGAAACCTAACAAGTGAAAATTTTAAAGATGGATAAAACAGGTATATTTTAAATTTGCTAACAAAAGATAAAATGTTTAACCAGCACAAAATTCATTACACTTATTTTACTATTATAAAAATAGTTCCTATAAATAACAAATATGGGAAGTTTTAGAAAAGCATAAAGACATTAATATCATCCAAAATCTATTAAAGGAAATACAACAGCTAAATTGTTATTCATTGATTCAACAGATGTGTCTATTTTGTGCCAAGCACTGTTTCAGGCATTTAAGATTCATCAGTTTAAAAGAAAAAAAAAAAACAAAAAACTCTTCCTCTTTGTACCGTATATTCTTCTAGAGAAGAAGGGGAAAGGACTGTCAAAACAAAAAGTAATAACATTATACAAATATATTTTATGGAATGTTAGAAAGGGGTAAAGGAGGAAAGGGGTAACAGGAATCAGGAGTGCTGGGGGGGGGAGGTAGGTGGCAATATCAGTGCCATTGATTAGGGAGGCCTCACTGAGCAGATACAAGCAAAGACAGTGAAGGTTGCTGGTACCGGGGCCCCTGAGAGGGAGAAGGCCTGGTGTGGTCAGAGAACAGCAAGGAGGTTAAGATGGCCAGGACTGAAGGACCAAGACGAATTCCAAGAGGTAAAGAGGGCCAGATACTGTAGGGCCTTGCAAGCTATTTTAAGAAATTTGGTTTTCACCCTGAAAGAGACTGGGAGCCACTGGAAGGTTCTGAGGAGAAGAGTGCCATGACATGACTTATTTGGGGGGGGGAGGAGCAGACAAAAACCCAAACTGTAGCACAGTGTTTCTTAACCACAGCATTTAAACATTTGGGGCTAAATATTTTTTTGCTTAATTCGGTTCTGTCTTTTTGGGGAGGAACAGGGCACCAGAGTGGGGTGGGTATAGAAGTAGGAAGACCCATTTAGAATCTTCTGGAGGGACTTCCCTGATGGTCCAGTGGTTAAGAATCCCCTTTCCAATGCAGGGGACATGGGTTTTATCCGTGGTTGGGTAACTAAGATCCCACATGCCAAGGGGCAACTAAGCCTGCACACTATAACTACTAAGCCAGTGAGCTCTAGAGCCTGTGAGCCGCAACTAGAGAGAAGCCCGCGCCACAATGAAGATCCCGTGTGCCTCAACTGAGGCCCAACACTGCCAAATAAAAATAAATGAACAAAAATGTCTTTAAGAAAGAGTCTTCTGCAGTTACCTACAGAAGCTGGTAAGAAGTGGTTGTATTTTAAAGGCACTGTGAGCCAGAGACAGGATATCCTAAAATAGACCAGATACAGGGTAGAAGGTACAAATAGAGGTCATAGATGGTACCAGGTGTTTGCCTGAACGACTGAAAAGCATCAGGAGTTAGCTCTGATATGTTAAGTGAGAGCTATTCACACATAGACAAGGACGTAAAGCAGGCAAATGGATGTATGCTTCAAGGAGTCAGAAGAAAGCTGTATACAGAAGATGTAAACTTGAGAGTCATTTACATACAGATACTGTTCTAAGCCATGAGACGGGAAATTATCAGTGGAAAGAAACAGAGAAGAGGACAAAGACTACCCTGGGATACCACAATCTTAAAGAGGTTGAGGAAATGAAAATGAAAACAACAGGATATGGAGAAGGAAAAATTGGGCTGGAAAAATAAACCAGGAAAGGAAAGTGTCCTGGAAGACAAGTTAAAAAAAGGATACTAGTGACAGATCAAGTAGCCTTTTCTCTTTCTATACTTTTAGACATTGTTTTGATCTATATAACACTTTATCAAACAAAACACCTCAATTGATCTAACCTTTATTCTATTGTTTGGCATTAAATCCTTTACAAATTATGGAAGGACTTAAGCCATTTCCAAAATTTTGCCATTATAAAGAACTCTGCAATGAACATCCTTTTGCATAAAATTTTTTGTTTAGGATAATTTCCTAAGCACTGAAATAAAATTACAGGGTCAGATATTAATCAATTTTAATGTTTAACACAAGTTGTCCCAATGCTTTCCAATATTAACACTATTCCCAGTAACTTTATACGAGAGTATCTAATTCAACTTCTCTATTCTTTGGCAACATTAGGTACTACAGTTTTTAAAAGCTTTTTCTAAAGTGGTAGATAAGAAGTATTGTCTTACTACCATTTTAATTTCTTTGACTACTGGAAAAGCAAACAATTTTCCATACATCTATTAAGCAGTTTAATTCTTCATAGGTAATATATTTGTTGCTAGAATATAGGGTTTTTCTTGTTTTGTAGTATAAATTCTCACATTTATTTACACACACACACACTCAAACACATACACACACAAATACACAAATACACATCCCTTAATCCATTTTTACAACAATTTTTCTGGATTTGCAATTCATCCTTTAATTGTGTTTAACTTCTATACACACATTATGTAGTCAAAATTAAGAATCTTATCCTCTGTGATTCACTCTTTGAATGTCCACTGTATAAAAAAAAAAAACCTGAATCAAACATAATTCACTTTCAATCTCTGTACTCTTATCTAATCCCAGGAGACAAGGAGGTACAGAGGAAGTAATGGGTAAGTCTCTCTGCATTAAAAGGGTTGAAGAGACGACATCTGCATTTAAAAAAATCTGTTGTAGGAAACCTGGTAGGCGAGGTATCTACCCCACAGAAACATACACAATTGTTGGATAAAATATTAAGGTATTTGGAAGTCCCCTGGTGGTCTAGTAGTTGGGATTCCACTGCTATGTCCTGTGTTCAATCTCTGGTCGGGCAGCCAAGATAACCACAAGCCATGTGGCATGGCCAAAATTAAAAAAAAAAAGAAAGAGAGATATGAAAAGATACTAAGTATAACAACAAGTAAATAAGAAATCAAGGAAAAAGACCAGATAATAAGTGAAGACAGGATCCCAAAGTTGATCCCAAACTGAAGCAGGTCTTCACTTAAGGAAAACAATTTGCAAAAACAGGTGACCTGGAGTTTAGGTTTTCCTATCTCAAAAAATATAAAGAACAGGACAGTAACCCAGAGCTTGCATAAGGTAGGGAGTCCAACAGAAGACCCCTCCTCCCCTGAAGATGGAACCCCAGAAAACTAAATCTTCAATATAGAGGCCCTAGAAATACCCCACCACAAAGCAAATAACAGCAAGGAAAGATAACAGTCTCAAACCTTAGCACTAAGAGGTTGAAGAACAGCATTACTCACAAAATGATACCAAAAGCCTGCCATCAAATCACATGAATCTGCAGCCTGATTCACATTACCTGGGTGGTACAAAAACCCTCAATGAGAAATTTAATCCATTACAGTGCCTGTTAAAACCAACAAAAACAAAAATTTCTGGAATTTCCACAAACAAAATTATAAAGAAAATGAGCAGCTCATGATTAAAAAATTGCAAGAAGTTCAGACACTAGAACCATAAGACTAAGAAATGCCTGTATCTGAATGTTCAAATAAATAAAAGAAACAAGTTAAAGACTGATGAAACATTTCTTCAAATGTTCTAAAAATCAAAAATAAATTCAAATGCCTAATGTATGTTTCTAAGGACAGACTGAAAGTCACTCAGTCGTGTCCGACTCTTTGCAACCATGGGGTTAGTCCATGGAATTCTCCAGGCTAGAATACGGGAGTGGTTAGCCTATCCCTTCTCCAGGGGATCTTCCTGACCCAGGAATTGAACTGGGGTCTCCTGCATTGCAGGCAGATTCTTTACCAACTGAGCTATGAGGGAAGCCCCAAGGACACATTAGAAGGGGCTTAAAACAGAATTAAGGAACTGGCAGACTGATCTGATGAAATTACCAGAGTGTAGCACTGAGAAACAAAAAGAAGGAAAGGCAGAATTTCTGGGGTGACAGAAACAATTCCATAGGTTGACATAATGAAAAAAATTAAAAGGTATGAAAATGTGAGTGAATCTAAAACACTGAATCTAAACACAAAGCAGTACCATTATATGAATTTTGTTTTATTTTATTTAGTTAAATATAAATTCAAAGCATAGAACTTGGCTTGGGAAGTGTTTACAGTTAAAGTATCCTAAGTTTCTGCAAGGAGATCAAATCAGTCCATCCTAAAAGAAATCAGTCCTGAATATTCATTGGAAGGACTGATGCTGAAGTTGAAGTTCCAATACTTTGGCCACTTGATGCGAAGAGCCGACTCATTGGAAAAGACCCTGATGGGGGGTAAGATTGAAGGCAGGAGAAGGGGGACAACGGAAGACAAGATGGTTGGGTGGTATCTCCAACTCAGTGGCCATGAGTTTGAGCAAACTCCAGGAGATGGTGAAGGACAGGGAAGCCTTGGCATGCTGCAGTCCATAGGGTCACAAAGAGTTGGAATGACTGAGTGACTAAATGGCAACAAAGTTTCCCTTTGAATTTCCCTGGTGACTCAATAGTAAGGAATCTCCCTGCAATGCAGGAGACACAGGTTTGATCCATGGGTCGGGAGATACCCTGGAGAAGGGAATGGCTATCCACTCCAGTGTTCTTGCCTGGGAAATCTCATGGACAGAGTCTGGTGGGCTACAGTCCAAGGGGTCACAAAAGAGTTGGACATGATGAAGTGACTAAACAACAACAAAGTTTTCTTTTATAATAAAGAGAAAGAAGAAAGAAAGACCCTAATTAACTTTAGAACTTAGTAAAAACACATTTACCATTTTATCAAGATTAATTAGAATTTCTGCATATATATCAAATTTACACTTTAAATGAATACAATTTGTGTACCTAAAATAACAAGACTTCAAAGTTTTCAAACAAAGGTGAAAAAAGTGAAATGAGGAAAAAAAATAATCCAAATGAAAGCAAGAAAAAGATACAGAGATGAAACAAATGAAAATACAAAATAAGATCTCTTAATTCAAATATATGAATAATTATCAGTAATCTAAATGCTCCAGTTAAATACCCAAGTCTCAGGGTTTAATTTCAAAATCTGAGTATTAATACATGCTGTTTAAAAGATAAAAAACTAAGGAAACCAAAAAGTTGGTGAAAAGATTTTAAAAGATACTAGGCAAGTAACTAAAATTTATGTAACTATATCAATATTTTTAAAAAAAATTTGCCTTAAAGTCTTAGAGATAAAAACTAACTTCACTAAAAGGATCAACTAGAAAGGAAAAGAAATCAATTTATACTTATACACAATAAATAATAAGCTTCCAAAAATATGTAATAAAAACTGACAGACATGCACAAAGACAAACAAATTCACAATCATGGTGAGAAATCTTTAACATACTTTTCTCAGTAATTGAAACACAGGAATAAAAATTTATAAGGACAGAAAAGAACTTCTAAATACAATTAACAATCTTGTCCTTGTATAGGCAAATATACAATTGTGCCTAATGGGAGCAGAATGCTTTTCAAAGACATGAGAAATAGTAGCAAAAATTGACATCATCCAAACTCATAAGATAAATCTCCAAAATTTCAAAAGATTATAATCATAAAGAGATGTCCTCCCACTGTACTACAATATGCTAGAATTCAATAAAAAGATTTAAAAACTGCAGATTAAGGAAACAACTTAAACATTACCAGTGCATCAAAGGAAAAAAACCATAATGGACAAAAAGTTTCAAAACAAAGATAAAGACAGCAATAAATAGCAAAATCTGTTTGATGCAACTAAAACAGTCATTAGAGGAAAATGTATAGCCTAAAATGTAAATATTAGAAGAGAGGACTGAAAATTACTAGATGTCTACGTTAAGCGACAATAAAAAAAGAGAGAATGAGATCAGGAAAAATAAAGACAAGGCACATTAAGCATATCATTTAGAAATACAGCGATTAACTTCAAAAACATGGAAAGTTGATTGTAGGAAACAGTAGATAGGAAGGAGAAAACATTTTTTTCCAATTAAACTATGTAAAACTATTTGCTCTTTAAACTCTGTCCATGCAGAACTTTAATAAAAATTGAAAACCAAATTTAAAAGAGGGGGAAAGAATAACAAAAGTTCATATGGTAAATGTCATTATGCTAATACAGATAGATGTATGAAAGAAGAGCTGTGAAAATGCAGGATTCTGACACTTCTAATATTCTGCCATCAAGAAACAAATGGAAACAAGACTATACTTGTCACAACAAATGAAAAATTATAGCTTTAAAAGCATGCACAAGCTCCCCTCGAAAAAGTGTGTTGTTAATTATGTTGACTTCAAATGCACTCATTTTACCTTCATCAGGCCACTGAATAGTAGCTTTAATACATCTGGAAACAAACTGGGTGGTGTTAAGGATACAAACAAACACATCAGGTAATTTTAAGCTTCAGAGGTTGATGTTGAAAGTGACATACAAATCCAAATGGAAGAAGTCATAATCAATATTAATTCATTTCTGTTTAATAACTCATGATCTGCTAGTATTTGATACAATGATAGCTGAAAAGATTCTTCTAAACACTTCCTATTTCGGTTTAGTTCAGTTCATCGCTCAGTCGCGTCCGACTCTTAGGGACCCCATGAACCACAGCACGCCAGGCCTCCCTGTCCATCACCAACTACTGGAGTCTACCCAAATCCGTGTCCATTGAATCGGTGATGCCATCCAAAAATCTCATCTTGTCGTCCCCTTCTCCTCCTGCCCTCAACTTTCCCAGCATCAGGGTCTTTTCCAATGAGTCAGCTCTTCCCAACAAGTGGCCAAAGTATTGGAGTTCAGCTTCAACATCAGTCCCTCCAATGAACACCCAGGACTGATCTCCTTTAGGATGGACTGGTTGCATCTCCTTGCAGTCCAAGGGACTCTCAAGAGTCTTCTCCAACACCACAGTTCAAAAGCATCAATTCTTCGGTGCTCAGCTTTCTTTACAGTCCAACTCTCACATCCATACANATGTGCAAGAGCAAGATGGTCCTTTACAGTTAGCCCTTTCTTAGAAAACAAAAGGGAGGAGTAATTTTCTTTATTTTTTGACCATGCTGTATGGCTTGCAGGATCTTAGTTTCCTGACCAGGGACTGAACCTAGGCCCCTGCAGTGAAAGCGCCAAATGCTAACCACTGGACCACCAGGGAATTTCCAAGGATGAATTTCTAACCATCCCTATTTTCTGGGGGGTGAGGGAAACAAATAGGAAAGTTGGCACTTAGCAACCCATTGCTTTACTGTCAGAGGATATGGGTCAGGGTTCTATTGTTAAATGTGGTCTGATCACTGATCACTGTTTGTGTATTCAGTCTTCCAGATATATTGTGCAAACCACACATGTAATTTAAAAGTTAAATTTTAAAAAGTAAAAAGAAACAAGTAACACTTTTTAAAAAAATGAGCCGACTTTCTGAATACATTTAAAAGAATAAATAGTCCTTTCAATGGAGAGAAAAAGAACAGACATTGCTCTGGCACAGAGTGGTAACACTAATTTTAACAATATATTTAACCCAATATGGGTTTCTCTTGTGGCTCAGATGGTAAAGAATCCACCTGCAATGCAGGAGACCTGGCTTTGATACCTGGGTTGGGAAGATCCTCTGGAGAAGGGAAAAACTCTCTACTCCAGTATTCTGGCCTGGAGAATTCCATGGACTATACAGTCCATGGGGTCGCAAGCAGTTGGACACGACTGTGTGACTTTCACTTTCACTTTTCACACTTACTTTAAAAAAACCTACTTTTCTCTATTCCCACATCAAAACTCCTGCCATTTTTATGCACAGTATATAATTCTTATATGTATAAGAGACAGAGATGAAATTAGGTGATTTCTTCACAGAATAATCAATTCCTTCCCCAAATCCCTTCTACAATATTTTGTAAGCTTTGAATTGGAAGTATTTGTTATCACTGGGTTTTTAGTGGGCACAAAAGTGTTAAAAGAGCAGCCAGACACTTCCTGTAGGTTGCACAAAAGAAAATCACCCTGCATCCTTTCCCAAATGCCTCTTCCTGCCTTCTTCTTTTTCTTTTCAACAAATTTCCTCTCCATCACTCCTGTCCTCTTTCCCGATTTCCTCTGTCCTACCCCTGATTTCAACATACCCTCCAACATCCACCAATTCTATGGGGAGTACCGAGACAGTAGGGGAGGGAGAGAGGGAGCAACTTGCTGCCTCTTCCATAGCATAAAGTTCATTATTTCCGAAAGAAAAACCTGAATAATTAGAACTGTGAAATGTAAACATTAGCTAGCAAGTACTTCTCTCTTTTTATCTCTCAATAGCTTCACATTGAAGTCTTTTTCTTTAAGCAAGTGGAAATTAAGTGTGAAACTTGGAGGAAGGGTTTTACATAAGTAAATCCTAATTATATGATTAAAACCCTTCATTTTACAGTTAAAGATCCTGGGCAGTTTCAGGAACCCACAAGTGAGCAGCAGAGGGAGTGCAAATATTAGATCTACTACTTGCCATCAATTCAATCAGCTTTATCATTTAATAGCTGTGCAATCCAGGTTGTATATTATATTCTAGTAAATAAATGAGGACTTATTGTTCAGTCACTAAGTTGTGTCTGACTCTTTGCAACCCCATAGACTGCAACACACCAGGCTCCCCCGTTCTTCATTATCTCCCAGAGTTCACTCAAACTCACGTTCATTATGTTGGTGATACTATCTAACCATCTCACCCTCTGCAGCCCCCTTCTCCTTTTGTCTTCAATCTTTCCCAGCATCAGGTCTTTTCCAAAGAGTTGGCTCTTTGCATCAGGTGGCCAAAGTACTAGAGCTTCAGCTTCAGCATCAGTTCTTCCCGATGAATATTCAGGGATGATTTCCTTTAGGATGGACTGGTTTGATCTCCTTGCTGTGCAAGGGATTTTCAAGAGTCTTCTCTAGCATCAGTTCTTTGGTGCTCAGCCTGCTTTATGGTCCAACTCTCTCATCCGTACATGACTACTGGAAAAACCACAGACGGACTTTTGTCGGCAAAGTGATATCTCTGCTTTAATATAATGACTAGGTTTGTCATAGCTTTCCTTCCAAGAAGCAAGCCTCTTTTAATTTGATGGCTGCAGTCACCATCCACAACAATTTTGGAGCCCAAGAAAAAAATCTGTCACTGTTTCCACTTTTCCCCCTTCTTGCCATGAAGTGATAGGACCGGATGCCATGATCTTCATTTTTTTGAATACTGAGTTTTAAGCCAGCTTTTTCACTCTCATCTTTCACCCTTATCGAGAGGCTCTTTTGTCCCTCCTTCACTGTCTGTCATTAGAATGGTATCATCTGCATATCTGAGTTTATTGATATTTTTCCTGGCAATGAAGTCTTTAAGTTGCTTCATAAGGAGAGTGACTTTTTGTCAACATTTCAGAAACAACTTCCAGCTGTCCTCTTTCCCTGATATTCCATGATTATATGGTGACTATTAGGAAAAACAATTCACTAGCACAGACTATATTTTTAATTAAGTATTTTCTCTCATCTCCCTTTCAGAAATGCCATTCTAATGATTTTTAAAAGTTAATAAAAACTATGTCACTTATTTTTATTAAAAAAATGATTAAAAAATTTAAAAGTCAGTCCAAAATTTAAATGGCCTAGTTCTCTCATTTTACAGATAGCAGTTTCTCATTTTGCAGCTCAGAATGTTGAAATAATTCTCCAAAGTCACTCAGAAAAGCAATGCTACTTTCATCTTTTAGAAATGAAATGAAGAAAGAAAAGAGTGATTACGAGTCTAAGAAAAAAAGAACTCTTTCTTAAAATGAGTTAAGATGCTGAATTGTCTATATTTATACCTGAAAATCATCAACAAGCTCAGGGAAAAGGTGTTCATACATTTTAAGTTCTTCTATTGTTCGTCCTGGTTCTTGCTGGGGTTTTAGTTTGTTAATATCCGTTTCAATATCATCATTCTGAAATAATAAAAATAGGATGTCATTAGTTAAGAAAAATACATTTCAGATTTAAAGTTTCCAAATTATTAACTACATGCACATAGACAATAATCACTACAGAAAGGCTGCATTAGTTTCACTGTAAAATAAAATTTGCTTATATTTTTTGGTTGTTGTATTATTGCTGTCTTGGTTGTTTTGTTTTGTTTTCTTTTAATCAAAGATTATTCTAACATAATACAGTATTTGGGCTCCTCAAGATAGAAAAACTAACAGCAGGATCAATACTAAAGTATGCTCCCTGCCCCCAATCTCACTAACTGCCATCATTTGCTCAGATTAAAGGGCAATAAAACTTCAGAAAACTAAACTGAAAAACCTAAGTATATGATGGTGGTGGTGATAATCAAAATAACTTTTATCGAGCAATGAAATATGTGAGGCAATATGCTGAGGATGTTACCTTATGATCTAATTTAATCTGTGTAAGAACACTGGAAAGTAGTATCATCATCTCCATTAACTAAAGAAGAGACTGAAGTACAGTGAGGTTAAGTGGCTTGCAAACAGAAGCAGAATGTAAAATCAATCAGTGATTTCAAAGAATACGCTGTTAGCCAACATAATGCATTGCCGCAAGAGATAATAATCACTACAGAAAGGCTGCATTAGTTTCACTGTAAAATAAAATTTGCTTATATTTTTTGGTTGTTGTATTATTGCTGTCTTGGTTGTTTTGTTTTGTTTTCTTTTAATCAAAGATTATTCTAACATAATACAGTATTTGGGCTCCTCAAGATAGAAAAACTAACAGCAGGATCAATACTAAAGTATGCTCCCTGCCCCCAATCTCACTAACTGCCATCATTTGCTCAGATTAAAGGGCAATAAAACTTCAGAAAACTAAACTGAAAAACCTAAGTATATGATGGTGGTGATGATAATCAAAATAACTTTTATCGAGCAATGAAATATGTGAGGCAATATGCTGAGGATGTTACCTTATGATCTAATTTAATCTGTGTAAGAACACTGGAAAGTAGTATCATCATCTCCATTAACTAAAGAAGAGACTGAAGTACAGTGAGGTTAAGTGGCTTGCAAACAGAAGCAGAATGTAAAATCAATCAGTGATTTCAAAGAATACGCTGTTAGCCAACATAATGCATTGCCGCAAGAGAGAGCAATGGTTATCACATACTCTTATATTCCATGGTCAATCAAGTTCCCTTAGAAAAGATTCAGTATCATCATTCATTCTGTTGTTCAGGGGAAAAAACACTGAGGAGTGAAACAACAGCTGGAAATGATTTCCATGTCTCTTTGGGTGAAAAAAAATAGATGGTAAATGTAAAGAAATATGACCTCACAGGAATAAGATATGCACCCAGGATCAATCTGATCTGTACCTATACAAGGAGACAATATACATCATGATGGAAAGATAAATGTCAGTTACCTACTATCCAAGCCAGCTTCTAGGACCCTTAACAACTCTGGCCTAACACAAACACAAATCCATCACTACCTGTGTTGATGGTTAAAGAAAGACAGTAAGAACAAACTATTTATTTTTCAGATTTAAATTCATGCTACTGTCAATCCTTAAAATACTTTATATACATGCATCTGATTATATTTATATACTGTCATATTAACAAGTAATTTAAAAAAGAAAAATATACTATGTATTTCCCGTATCTCATAATAAGGAGTTTAGCTATTATTTCTTTAACCAATAAAATTATTTTTCCTATTGCCATAAATAATAAAGACCAGTTTTATTTAAAGAGTATCATATTAATTATTGTATCATATACATAAAATATATAATTTCATATATCCTTAAATTATGCTTTGAAAAACCAAAAATACATAATTGTCTTGATTAGCATCTATTAAAGTAGATAACACTTTCAAAATAATAAAAAAACTTTAAAGATATTCCTTTCTCTAAACACACTAGCAGTCCAATATTCAGTATTATTTTAGGATGATACAGCTTTACAAAATGGCCATTTAAAAAAATTTTTTTTTAAAAATTTTTTTTTAATTTACCTGTAAAACAGGCACAGTAAGGAAAGAAAACTACTTTCAGAAGTCAACAGCAAAAAATTTGTGTTTTAGTCTGGGGAAAAACAAAGATAAAGAGCTCCTGACACATTCAGAAAAAATAAACCTCCTACTTCTTAAAGTTCTTCTAAAATTAAGGAGGGAAAAAAAGAATATACTGAAGATTATAAGCTGACGAGTTCTGGCAATCTGAAGACAAGTCTTCTAGAACCTCCAAATTTCTATAAATTTTCCAAACTCTGAAAAATCTAGGGCAAAGAGAATGGAATCACTAACAGGTTTAACATCTGTGTTCAAGTGTGACTGCAGTCTCTACAGCTTATAACCTTCCTGGGTCTTTGGTTTCCATTTATCAGCCCTGTAAAGCATAGGTAATAACACCGCATACCTTACAGGATTTAATGACTACCATAGGCATACCTGGACACAGCTTCAGTTCCAGACCACCACAATAAAACAAATGTCACAATAAAGCAAGTCAGGTGAATTTCTGGTTTTCCAATACATATAAAAGTTATGTTCACACTATACTGTGGTCCATTACGTGTTCAATACATAACATCTAAAAAAAAATCCTAATTTAAAAATATTTATTGCTAAATAATTATAATCAAAATCACCGGTCACAGATCGCCATAACAAATATCAATACATTAATACTGAAAAAGTTTGAAACATTGTAAAACTACAAAAAATGTCACACAGAGACATTAAGTGAGCAAATGCTGTTGGAAAAATGGCACCAATAGGCTTGTTCCACATACGGTTGCTACCAACTTTCTCCAATTTGTTAAGAACACAGTATCTACAAAGCACAATAAAGCAAAGTGTATGTAATAAAACAAGGTATGTCTATATATGTAAGGCACATGGACTAGCACAGGACTAGGTATTCAATAAATTCAATCTATTACTTTTTCTTATCACATGATTGCTGTGTTAAAGTAAAATGAGGTAAATGTGAGCAATCTCAAATACCCTAGTGAGTAATACTGCCAATAACTTTTTTATAGATGTGAATGCCAACAAAGAAATCTGTGGAAACGTTCTAAATTAAAGGAGACTTAAGGACAAGATAATTAAATGCAATACCTGATGCTAGATTCTATACTGGAGAGGAAAAAAAAAAATCTTATAAAGGACATTATTAGATCAGCTAACAAAATGGAATGTGGATGGTAGATAAGATAAAAATGATACTATCACTTTAAATGTATTAAGCTGGTGACTGTATTGGGTTATATAGGAGAGAACAGCCAGTCCTCTATATCCACATGTTGCCATTCCTCAGATTCAACCAACTGTGGATTGAAAATTTTAAAGAAACACAATTCCAAAGAGTAAAACATGAATTTGTGGCATGCCAATAACTATATACACAGCATTTACATTTTACTTACAACTATTTACATAGTATTTACATATTATTAGGTATTACAGGTAATCTAAAGACGACAAAGTATATGGGAGGATGTGCATAGGTTACATGCAATTACTTCATGACTTTATATAAGGAAATTGAGCATCTGTGGATTTTGGTATCCAAGGTGGGTCCAGGGACCAGTACCCCAGGACACTGAGAGATGACTGTATTGCTGTCCTTAGGAAATACACACTAATATATTTAGGGATAAACAACTATGATATATAAAGTATGTAACTTACCCTCAAATGGTTTTTTAAAAATTTTAAAATATGTATTCATGCATATACACTGACAACCTCCAAACAGAAAAATTAGTATCACTGTTATAAATTCCTATTGAGTTCTACTTCCCTATCAATTTCCATTTTTACATCTGCAGATCACATCTATAGACATTTTTAATAAGGACCCTGAGCCAGAAAGAATAAGTTATACTCAAAATACTTTAATAGACATGGAAACAAACATAAAAGAAAGGTTTCCAACAACATACAAAACTTTAAATTATAAACTTAATATTAACCTACAAATTTTACTATCTCTAAACACTCATATCCCAATAAGTCCAAACAATTGATTTTAAAATACCTCTTGTTATCTAAGGAACACTTTATATACAGAATGTAAACTCTCCTGACCTGTCCTACCTCATATTCTACCAGTTCATTCACCATATCGAATCCAGAACCAAAAACATACAGTTACCCCAGATTTTCTGCCTCGAACACCAGAGCCTGTGGCTTCCCTGGTAGCTCAGACGGCAAAGAGTGCCTGTAGTGCAGGAGAACCAGGTTTGATCCCTGAGTCAGGAAGATCCCCTGGAGAAGGAAATGGCAACCCACTCCAGTATTCTTGCCTGGAAAATCCCACAGATGGAGGAGCCTGGCAGTCCATGGGGTCACAAAGAGTCGGACACGACTGAGCAACTTCACTTTCTTTCCAGAGTCTGCACTGTTTTTCTTCTTTGTAGCTTCTTGATGCCAGGATGCATACCATCATGTTACCCTTGCAATTTTGCCAAAGCTTGCCTTGGTTATCACATAAAACTGGTTCTACATCTGCTGTTAAGATAGAAATCTCCTTCCAGTATCTTAGACTCTATCTCCAAAGACAGTCAAATACTCAGTGTAAACCAATTTCCATGTAGCATTTCAAGACAAAAAGGCCCAAGGAGATGAGAGTCAAACAAACTCCCTCTGCCCCCAAAAGTTATAAAAGCTAAACAGCTGAAAAATGAAGAAATTAAACAGATGTTTTCCTACAGATACTAAAATGGCCCCCTCTACCACTTAATAAAGCGAAGTAAGTTGTGACTCAAACTTAGATTTCCCTAGACTTTAAAATCTAAGTCAGAAAGGTTAGATAAAATCTCTCTGGTCAGAAAAGAATGAAAATATTTTATTTTAAGGCCCTTTTCAGACAATGTATTTAAAGCAACATTATTTTCCTTTCAATAGCTTAGGGCCCAGTTATTCATGATAAAAAAGATGTGGATAAAACAAATTAATCTACTGATCCCTGATAGCTCAGTTGGGAAAGAATCCTCCTCAATGCAGGAGACCCCAGTTCGATTTCTGGGTCGGGAAGATCCGCTGGAGAAGGGATAGGCTACCCACTCCAGTATTCCTGGGCTTCCTTTGTGGCTCAGCTGATAAAGAATCTGCCTGCAATGCAGGAGACCTGGGTTCAATCCCTGGGTTGGGAAATCCCCTGGAGAAGGTAAAGGCTACCCTCTCCAGTATTCTGGCCCAGAGAATTAGGGCAAAGAGTCAGACACGACTCAGCGACTTTCACTTTCAATAGCTATATATATCTACCCAATCTTTTTTCTACAACTGTGTATACATTCATAAATTGGCTGAAAACAGAAATTTATACCAACCTTAAAATTTTGATCTAGGTCATCTTCATTTTCAGTTTCATTTTCAGCTTCTAAATCAATATCATCGTTGTCATCACTTTCATCTACTACGTCATCCACTGTGATACAAAATGTGCTATAAGTAGGTCAGAGGTAAGCATTCTATAACATGCACATCCAAAAGTAGAATGTTTTATATATATATAGCATCAGTATCTCAATTACTAAAGGAAAACTAAATTACATTTTCTTATTAAAAAATATCTCTAATGTTGTCCCAGGTGTTGAAAACCCTATGAGATGAAGTGAAAATACTTCAAAATTTGGAAAAGCCCTCTAAAAATTTATGGGCTTTTTTATTAATGTTGGCAAGTTCTAAAAAATTAATGTCTTATATTGCAACAGCCTGAATGAAACATCTTGTTTCCTATTTATGATACATTTCAATAACTACTTTCATCTCCTTAAAATTCACTTACCATTGATTTCCCTCAATGACTGCCATGCACTGTGCACTGTGTTGTGTGCTGGGAATTTGTTAAAAGATGTGCAAATGCAGTCTCTGCCCTCAGGGTGCTTATGAAGTTAAACAGAGAAAGACTAAAAATAATTATAATATAAAAGATATATGATAATGAAGACATAAACTTAAAAATGCCATGGGAAAACAGGGACAGGAAGTAAATACAAACTGCTTAGGACTGAGATTATTAGTGATCACTTCACAAAACAAGTAGTAAGCAGTATCTTAGAGAAAAATATAGCAGCTTTCTAGGTGAATTTAAGAGTGTGTGAGTGTGGCTTTTAAGAAGAAGAAATGATAACCTGAAAATAATTTTAATGATATCTTTGGAAAATAATAAGTTAATCATGACTTAACTTGTATGTTTGAGAAAGTACTAGGAAAAGCAAAGAAGAATGAGAAAGTGAAGGGTATGAGAGGCCAAGTAGTTTAGATTTTCACCCAGTGGAAGACAAGTACTAGTGATTTTTAAGAGGAGAGTGGTTTAAGTTAAGACTTTTGAAAAGATCACTCTGACAGCCATGAGAAACATAACACATATGTGGAAGCAGACCAATGAAAAGAGGAAAAGATAATAACTACCTGGACCAATACAGTAGTAATGAGGCTGAAGAACAAATATACATTAGAGAAAGCCCAGGAAATAGAATGCAAAAGCCCAGGAAATAGAATGCAAAAATCCACGAGGGCATGGATGCGAGGACACAAGGAAAGAAGCGTAGAGGAGAGCTCTGAGAGGACTCATGTAAGTAAATGAGTGCATTAGGACACAGTAGACAATATTTTTAAAGAATATGTTCCCAAACTTTGCTTTTATTTTTTATTCTATTGAGGAATAACTGACAAATATAACTGTATATATTAAAAGTGCGAGATGTGATGATATATGGTAAAATGGTAAATCATGGTAAAATGACTGTCAAGATGAACAGAATACTGCCGTCATTTCACATAGCTAACACTGTTAACACTTTGTATGTGGGTTCACACGTACATGTGGTGAGACTACTTAAGATGTACTCTCAGTAACTCTCAAATACACAATGCCATATTAACTAGAATGGGAAAGACTAGAGATCTCTTCAAGAAAATCAGAGATACCAAGGGAACATTTCATGCAAAAATGGGCTCAATAAAGGACAGAAATGGTATGGACCTAACAGAAGCAGAAGATATTAAGAAGAGATGGCAAGAATACACAGAAGAACTGTATAAAAAAGATCTTCACAACCCAGATATTCACGATGGTGTCATCACTCAATTAGAGCCAGACATCCTGGAATGTTAAGTCAAGTGGGCCTTAGGAGGCATCACTACAAACAAAGCTAGTGGAAGTGATGGAATTCCAGTTGAATTATTTCAAATGCTGAAAGATGATGCATTGAAAGTGCTACATTCAATATGCCAACAAATTGGGAAAACTCAGCAGTGGCCACAGGACTGGAAAAGGTCCGTTTTTATTCCAATCCCTAAGAAAGGCAATGCCAAAGAATGCTCAAACTACCGCATAATTGCACTCATCTCACATTTGGGGCTCCAAAATCACTGCAGATGGTGACTGCAGCCATGAAATTAAAAGACACTTACTCCTTGGAATAAAAGTTATGACCAATCTAGATAGCATATTAAAAAGCAGAGACATTACTTTGTCAACAAATGTCCGTCTAGTCAAAGCTATGGTTTTTCCAGTAGTCACATATGGACGTGAGAGTTGGACTATAAGGAAAGCTGAGCACTGAAGAATTGATGCTTTTGAACTGTGGTGTTGTAGAAAACTCTGGAGAGTCCCTTGGACTGCAAGGAGATCCAATCAGTCCATCCTAAAGGAGATGAGTCCTGGGTGTTCACTGGAAAGGACTGATGCTGAAGCTGAAACTCCAATACTTTGGCCACCTGATAGAAAGAACTGACTCATTGGAAAAGACCCTGCTGGGAAAAATTGAGGGCAGGAGGAGAAGGGGATGACAGAGCATGAGATGGTTGGATGGCATCACGAACTCAATGGAGAGAGTTTGAGTGAATTCCGGGAGTTTGTGAGGGACAGGGAGGCCTGGCATGCTGCAGTCCATGGGGTCGTGAAGAGTCAGACACAACCAAGCGACTGAACTGAACTGAACTGAACTGAACCATGCTATATGTTAGCTCCTCAGAACTTAATCTTCTCAAAACTAAAAAGGTACGCCCTTGGATCTTATCACCCATTTACCATTCTTCCAGGCCCTGGAATCCAACATTCTATTCTGTTTCTTTGAAACTGTTTTTTGTTTTTTTTTTTAATTCAAAGATTGTATGTGTAAGTGATACCATACGGTATCTGTCTTTCTTTGTCTTGCACATTTCACTTAGCATAAATCCCCTCCAGATTCATCGAAACTGTCACAAATGATATTTATTTTTCTTATTGGCTGAATCATCTACACAAATCACTTTTCCTTTATCCATTCATCCATGGAAAGACATTAAGTTTATTTACAAATGTTGATTATTTACACAATTATTTACACAAAAGTGTAAATAATGTTGAAATGAACATGGGTATGCTGATATACCACGTTACAGTCCCACCAACAGAGTGTAAGGGTTCTGTTTTCTCCAAATCCTTGCTATTTGCTATCTCTTGTATTTTTGATAATAGCCATTCTAAGAAGTGTGAGGGGATTTCTCTTCAAGGTTTTGGTGTGCGCTTCCCTGATGATTACTGATATACAGCACCTTTTCATTATCTTCTGGCCATTGGTATATTGTTCTTTGGGGAAAATGTCTATTCAAGTCTTTTGCCCATTTTTAATTGCACTATCTTCCTTTGTACTATTCAGCTATATGAGTTCTGTATATTTTTTTACATTAATCTTTCACTAGATACATAGTTTCTAAATATCTTCTCCTATTCTATAGGTTGCCTTTTTAGTAAATTCTCCTTTGCTGTGCAGAATCTTTTTAGTTTGATGTAGTCCCACTTGTTTATTTTAGCTTCTGTTGCCTACACTTTTGTTATCTTATCCAAGAAATCACTGCTAAGACCAACTATGCCTAGGATCTTTTCCCCTAAGTTTTCTTCTAGGAGTTTTATAATTTCAGGTCTTATATATACAATTTATCCATTTCAAGTCAATTTTTGTGAATGGTGTAAAATAGGGGTCCAGCTTCATTCTTTTGCATGTGGATACCGAGTTTTCCCAACATAATTTATTAAAGAGACCGTCCTTTCCCCACTGTGTGTTGTTGGCATCCTCATCAAAATGTAATTGACCATATTATGCTTGGGTTTCTGACTAGGCTCTCTATTCTGTTCCAGCTCTTCTGCCTGCTTTATTTGAGTACTGTACTATTTTGATTACCATAGCTCACAATCAATCCTAAAGAAAATCAACCCTGAATATTCACTGGAAGGACCGACGCTGAAGTTGAAGCTTCAGTTGGATAGGACTGAGCGAATGAAGAACAACAAAGCTCATAACAGCTTGAAATCAGGGAGTGTGATACCTCCAACTCTGTCCTCCTTTCTCAAGATTGCTTTGGCTATTTGGGTCTTTTATGGTTTCATATAAATTTCAGAATGGTTTTATATTTCTGTGAAAAATGCCACTGAAATTTTGATAGGGATTGTATTGATTATGAAGGTAACTTTGGTCAGCATGAACATTTTTATATTAATTCTTCCAATTCAAGAATGCAGGATATCTTTCAATTTGTGTGTGTGTCTACTTCAATGACTTTCAACATTTTATTAATCAGCATACAGGTCATCAACTCCTTGGTAAGACTTATTTGTAAGTACTTTACTGTCTTGATGCGACTGTAAATGGGGTTGCATTCTTAATTTCTCTTTCAGATAGTTCATTATTAGTGCATAGGAATACAATGACGATTTGTATATTGATTTTGTATCCTATACCTTTACTGAATTCATTAGTTCTAACAGTTTTTTGGTAAAGATGTTACAGTTTTCTACATATAAGATAATGTCACTGCAAACAGAGATGATTTCATTTCTACCTTTCTGAATTAAATTGTCTTTTCTTTCTTTTTTCCTAACCTAATGGTTATAGCTAGAATATTTGGTACTTGTTACAAGACCTTTTAGAACTAACACCCAAAAAAGATGTCCTTTTCATTATAGAGGACTAGAATGCAAAAGCAGGAAGTCAAGAAACACCTGGAGTAACAGGCAAATTTGGTCTTGTAGTACAGAATGAAGCAGGGCAAAGGCTAATAGAGTTTTGCCAAGAGAACGCACTGGTCATAGCAAACACCCTCTTCCAACACAACAGAAGACTCTACACATGGACATCACCAGATGGCCAACAGCAAAATCAGATTGATTATATTCTTTGCAGCCAAAGATGGAGAAACTCTATACAGTCAGCAAAAACAAGACCGGAAGTTGACTGTGGCTCAGATCATGAACTCCTTATTACCAACTCCAGACTTAAACTGAAGAAGGTAGGGATAACCACTAGACCATTCAGATATGACCTAAATGAAATCCTTTATGAATATACAGTGGAAGTGAGAAATAGATTTAAGGGCTAGATCTGATAAACAGAGAGCCTGACGAACTATGGACGGAGGTTCGTGACATTGTACAGGAGACAG